TATTTTTTATATATATATATATAATATATATGTATATGTATATATATATATATATATATATATATATATATATATATATATATATATATATATATATATATATATATATATATATATATATATATATATATATATATATATATATATATATATTAGGGTGGGTCATAAAACTTTTTTTTCAGAGTTGCTAACCTGGCTATGGTCTAGAAAGTTGTTTTTTTATGTACTTATTTAGGAAAGTATTTGTTTTTATGGATTGAACAATGTCTTCCACCCGCAACTAAAATTACAAAAATTAGCAGGCCCTATTATTATTCAAAAAAAAAGTTTTTCAAAATGATGTGATGTAGGTACTCAAATAAAGCGAAATTTTATAAAAATTATAAAAATAATAATTTTTTCATATAAAAATAATTATTTTAGATTTTATTGCATAATAACTATAGTTTTTTAACTAAAAGTAAAAAAGGTGCATTTTTACATGTTTTTTAATGACAATTTTTTTCGGCAATATGATTTTTACAAAACGATTATTATTTTCGAATTTTTTATAAAATTTCGCTTCTTAAGAGTATCAGGTTGACCTACTTTTTTATTTTTTTAAATTTTTTTCTCCAAAATATTAGGGTACCGGTAATTTTCCCAATAAAGTTGCGCCCTTTAAATCTATCACAATCATTATCATATTTGATAGTATCAATATTAATAACTATTAGCAATGTTTAGAGGCTGTAACAAGAAAAAAAAATTTTATGACCCACCCTAATATATATATATATATATATATATATATATATATATATATATATAAATATATATAAGTACTGGTCAAAATTATTACACAAATGTAAATTAAAAATTGAATGATAAAAACTTAATGGAGGGTTGAATGAAAAGTTGTAACTATTTTTTAATCTGAAGAAAAACATTTTACTTTTTACAAAAATGAATGAAAATAGAAAATACATTTAAAGTTAACATGTTTTAAAGTTCACTTAGGAATAATACAGAAAAAAAAGCTGGTTATAATTATAGCACATAGTACTAATTTTATATAAAAAATCATTGGAATTTGGTTTAATATAAAAAATGTTGGATTCTTTAGCTCTAAAAATTCAAGAAATTTGATCTGGAACAGAATTTACCAATTTAATGCAAAGATCAATTGATTGTTTTGTCCCAAATGTCTTGAACTGCATCCTTTAAGTCGCTTGTATTTTTGAATTGCATCGTTTAAGTCATTTGTGTTTTCACAGATTTTTGTTCAAATCTAGTGAAGTGGATGGCCATTCTAGGAGCTGAATATTCTTCGTTGCAAGCCATTCCATAGTTTTTTTTGCTTTGTGACACAGTGCATTATCTTGCATAAAATAACAATCTTTAGCTTCAGAATCAAAAAGAGTGTCCATTTAATCAGGTAACTCAGCAATAATTTCTAAATAATGAGAAGCATTCAAACCACCTTCGTAAAACTTCAATAAACCTATTCAATTTGCAGAAAAACATCCTTATACAGAAATAGTTCCACCACCACCTTGTACTTTTGTTGTAAAATTAAATGGTAAATCTTTTTCATTAGGAAGACGATGTACAAACTTACAATTCTTTCTAATTTTGACTTCAAAATGTGATTTGTCACTAAATATTACATGATGCCATTGATTTTGAGTCTAATCAACATAGTTTTTGCACCAAGTGAGTGTCTTCTTTTTCTGAGCCTTATTTCAATAACAATGTCGTTTCTGTGTGTAACTTTTCAACCCTTTTTTTTTCTTTTGCAGCATTCAACTCCATAGAAATTTTTCTACTTGAATCAGTACGATTCAAATAGAAAATTTGCTATGGAGTTAAACAGTACGGTCTCCTGTAAAATTAGTGCATCTAAGATGTCCTTAACCTGGTTGATTTTTCATTAGTAAATTCAATTTAATTTTATCACCAATATTGTAGACAAAATTTTCTGCAAGTTTTAGCACATTTAGCAATATCAGCAATATTAAATTGCTGTTAAAGTAATTTTTTTTTACAAGTTGTCGCCGCTCAGAGCTCACTACTTTGCGACCCATTGCATAAACTATGTTTTAATTTTAAAATTACTGAAAAAACATTGAAAAATTATAAGATTTGCTATTTTAAATAATTAACTATGACGCTAGTAGATAAATAAAATATAACACTCAACAATGCCTCAATGCATTTACACGCATTCAAATCTATGTATGGATATGATTGTGCTATAAATTTGACTAACATTTTTTTATATATTTGCAAAACAGTTCATTACTAAGATAAATAACGAACAAAATTTTTTAATTTTATGTGTACATTTTAAATGACTAATGTAAATGCATTTCAAAAATACAGTACCTCTCAATAATATGATTAATGCATACAAAAATTTGACATGACAATCTTATTTCAAGAGGTTGTGCATACAATCATACATTCATATATATATATATATATATATATATATATATATATATATATATATATATATATATATATATATATATATATATATACACATAAATTTATATACACACACATAAATTTATATACACACACATAAATTTATATACACACACATAAATTTATATGCACACACATATATATGTATATGCATACACACATATATATACACATAGATTTGTAATTCCTGATAATTTATGTAGTAGCTGATATTAAATATAGTTTCTTAATTTTAATATAGTACTTGATATTTTATGTACTTTCTAGTATTTTATATAGCTGATATGATCTCACTTTATTGTATATTATTAAACTAATTTTTTATTAGATTCACCCTTTCATTGCACTTCTTTATAGCTGACTAGTTTTCATTTGATGATTTTCTTTGTGATGATCCTTGTGCTGATGTCTTTGCTAAAAATCTAGACTCCAATGTAATTGGCTGGATAAGGCAGGCATAGAAACATTTCTTAAACAATTACCTTTTGATTTCTATCAAAGTAAATTGATTTCTAAAAAAGAAATAAATTTCTTAACTGTCAACAAAAAGCAAGTCATTCCTGTTTCTTAAACTTTTGAAAAATCTTTGTGCAAAAAAATAGCAGTGGCTGATAATTGTCAAATTTGTTTCAAGAATACTTTTCCATTTTTCCAAATGAGCTAAATTTTTTTAGTCTTCTACAGTGAAGTAAAAGTCATAGAAATATTAATTAATTTAATTAAATGTAAGCAGATCTGATTTTTCATTTACTGATTTGACATTTATAATTTTGGTAGAAAAAAATTTCTATTGTGATTTATGAATAGTTAATAATAGGACTTGTAATAGTCCTTTTTAGTTATAAAAAAAGATTCTTTTCCTTTCAGCAATGCTTAATTTTCTTAATTTACCCTTTTTTTATTGTTAAACAAAATTTCAATTGCTAAAAAATATTTAGTAAGAAACATTTACTAATAAAATTTCATTCTAAAAAATTGTTTCTTTAGCAATTTTTTTTTTTTTAATTTAACTGCAATCAAAATAATACTAAAATAAAAAAGCGTTTTTTAAAACCAATAACAATGAAGGAAAAAGCATTGAAACGTAAGTAATAAGACTTTTTAAATTGTAACAAGATTGTTTGAAATAATTTGTTGCCTTTTGTTGAATAAAATAAGCTGTAATGGTTATAAAACTGATACTAATGTACTAGAATCATAAATTAGAATCATAAATTTAAATTCATAGAACCATAAATTTAAATTCATAGAATCATAAATTTAAATTCATGGAACCATAAATTTAAATTCATAGAATCGTTAAATTAAAGCATCAATAAATTTGAGTTTAAAATTTTAAAATAAAATTTGAAAAAAAAATAGAATATAAAAAAGCAAAGTAGAACTAGAAATGTAATTTGGTTTAACTTCCAAAAATGTTTTCACTAACATGGGAAAAGTGCTTTTTAAAATTGGTCGATAAACACTTCCTGCCCTCTAATAGCTTACATAACAATTTTAATCGAAATACATTTAAAGTTAGCTACAGTTGCACAAAAAAAAATTGAAAGAATTATAAAAGGTTATAGCTAAATAAAAAAGAAATCCTAAATGAAAAAACAATAGAAAATTGTAATTGTAAACAAACAAAAAAAATTGTCCAAATTATAATGATGAATGATTTTAGATCGTGCTAAAAACAAAATTGAATTAAAAATTAAAAAAAGCATTCATATAAGATAGGAAAAACCCGATATGAATAAACAAGTAAACCATGTTAAAATGACTCTTATAATTTAATATGATTTACCGGTTTCTTTTGTTATATTTGACATTTCTTAAAATAATTTTAATAAATCTTTTTGTATATATAGGAAGTTTGTTTACAATTTTATGGCTTTTATTATGTTTATTTTTAACAAATATATTTTAACTGATGATGACTATATATAGTCGAAACACGTCTTGAATAATAAAATGTTTTTAAATAAAATTAAAAAATTTGTCTTATTTTTAAAAGTAATATATATATATATATATATATATATATATATATATATATATATATATATATATATACATATATATGTATATATATATATATATATATATATATATATATATATATATATATATATATATATACATATATATATTTATTTATATATATATTTATATATATATGTATAGGTATATATATATATATATATATATATATATATATATATATATATATATATATATATATATATATATATATATATATATATATATATATATATATATATATATATATATATATATATATATACCAAAACTAAAAAGTATAACTACCTAAGGTAGTAATACAGCTGGATTAATTAGTAATGTTTAATTTACCTTAACAATAATTTTCAAATCTTTATATTATCAACTTTATTTAATTTTGTAATGTTTTTAAATATCCATAATAATAAATTATTAATTTTTATGCATTAAAACTAATTTCTAAAGTAGTAGTAAAAAAAAAAAAAGATTGTAAAAAGTTGTAATAAAAGATTGTGGCTTACATAAGTTTATGAACAGTAAAAGAGCAAAAGTGAAGTCTGGACTTGATCTGGGTGAATCATTTATTCGCACCACAGTTATTATGCCAGCTCCTACTATGCTTACAAAAGCTAGTAAGATAAAAGTCACTTCAATAGGCTCCAAATCATTGAGTAGTCGAAACTTAAATTAAGAAATAAATACTTTTATTAAAATAAATATTCTAGTAAAAACAATCTTAATCTAACAACAAAAATAACAACAAAAAAATAAAAAATATAAAAATTTGTTATTACTTGTAATTTGTTAATTCTGGTAAACCTAGAAACTTCTTTTTTTACATTTTAATAAGTTTTTTTTTTATAATTGTTTTATAAAAAGTTTTTTTTTATAACTTTTATAACTTTTTTTTTTAACTATCTATAATTAATTAATAAAAATAGAAGATTTTACAAAGTAAAAAATAATGGACAAAAAGTATATATAATAAACCAATAAAATGGATTACAAAATGATTCAGTAAATAACTAATTAATATAACAAAAATAAAAATTATAACCTTTCAAATTAAATTATATATACAAGTTTAAATTTTATCTGTTTATTTTATTCTGAAGACCTTTCCAAATTTACTAGAACTTCTTTTAAAAAGTTTTTAAGACTTAGTCAAGCATAGAGATATATAAATTGTAACAAAGAAGTGTTTGTTAAAAAATTCTCACCCTGGTAGTACAGTGCTTAAGTCCCTGGTAGTACAGTGCTTAACTTGTTTCTTCACACAGTGGCCTTGTTTGTCAAGGTTCCTGTTTTGAAGTTATAAAGTTGAGAGAGGGTTGTAACCACAATTATAGTAGCCTCCTAAACTGTAATACCTTCTCTGCAATGGGGAGATGAATTAACATAAGACATCAACAACAACTTCTACATAAAAAAGAACATCAATAACAACTTGTTTCAAATTTTATTTAGACCAGCTTTTGGTATCTTTTCATGTTATCAAAGATTTACAAGTTAAATTGTTTTAGATAGGACTTTGAAAAGAGTTTAAAAATAAAATTGAGAAGCAAAAATGTTTACAACAGGACATAGGGATACTTTATATTTTGTACAGTTTATTTGTGTTTACAACAGGACACTATTTTATATTTAGTAGTCTAATGAACTTTTTAATTTATAAAGAAAAAAAAAAAGGTTATTATCTATTGAATTTAATAAAAAACTAAAAACGTTTGCTAATTTACAATTGAAGTTTGATATTGAATGAACAAAAAATATATTATATATTTTATTTATATAGATTCCTAAAAATATCCATATCCAAAAATTAACACAATCATTAACTTACAATGCTGGGAAGTTGTGACATGCAGTTGAATATATAAATGACTCAAATATACTATTGCAAATAGGTAGCAATGAGCAATGTTCTCCTAGAGATTGTTCTGCTATTAAAGTTTTTTATCACCCACATTACTAAAAAGTCTATGTAAGCAGGGTGTTAGCCAGCCCAAAGGCACTGCATATACCGCAGTTTAAAATTACCAAAATTCAATAATCTTTTTTTTTAAGTAATAAGACAATTCTAATAAAAATTCTTAATATTTTGTAAAACGATAACATTGAGTTTTCCCAATATCACAAAAACGTAGTAAAAAATATCCCTTGCTCTCAACCTGGTAAGCTGTGTTCAAAATAAAGCATTAAAAAGAAGCATTAAATTCAAAAACTCGCATTTATAGAGATTCATACAATTTATTCTGTAAAGAAGTAATCATAGATCACTTGTTTAAAGAAAGTGAAATAAATTACTATTTATACCGGATATGGTTGCTAGGATAAACCATCTAAAGTTGATGTTATAAAATATGCAGAATATAATGAAAAATCAACAGAAAGCAATGTTTTAGTCATAATATATAAAAAACAAACAAAAATGATCTGCTTGCAAAAGAATAAACATGTAATACCTTCAAAAATTTGTCTGCCACACATACTGTGAACATTACACATTTGATGTAAGCAAAGCTTGTTGTGAACTTTTTAAAAACAGTCCAAGAAAAATTTATATCTGATAGCAATGATACTTTTGATAATCACATTTATTGGACTTACAATAAAACATACATAAGAAAAGATGACACATCAGCTTAATGTTATGAGCTCAGTTGGTAATAAGCGGAAAACTACTAATGGTCAAATAAAACCAGCTGTGTCTGATGCAAAGATTACCACTTTACTACTTTATTTCGTCTCATTTTCATTTACCATGAAATCAAATATATTTTCACTATTTTTTATAAATAAATAAAAAATAAAAAAATCAAGTATTTTCAGTTTTAAGCTTTTATTATTATTATTTTTTAAATTTTTTAACAAATATCAGTATAATTTTTAAATTCATATATCTTATACTTATAGCAGTAATACTAGTTTAATATAAGTGCTATAAATATATTCATAAATATAAGTTGAACTTTTAAAGCATTTACTTATTGATCATGTTATTTTTATTCGATTATAAAAGTTTGATTCATTTTATAAAAGGTTAAATATAAAGGCATTCTTCTACATAAAAATTGATTGCAAAAGATAAAAACCCAAACGTAACGTTTATAACTCGAGTTTAAGTTATTAGAAAGAACTTTTTTGTACTAAACTCATTTATTAACTAAAATAGCCCTTAAATCAGACCAGTAATTTGAAAAAAAAAAAAAAAATCAAAAAACTAAACTTACCTTCGAGAAGAAAAAAAATTGCATTAAAAATTATAAAGTTTTTTGTTGATATCTTGATAAATAATTTGTTCTGAAAAGTTTAATTAACATGAAACTTATTTTTTAAAGGGATCCCAAACCTCCGAGACATGTTGTGTTCTTATTAATAAGAGTGATAAATAGAAACAAAACAATGTAACTCCATTTTTACAAATTGTTTAGGAGAAAGAAAAAACAGATAAACTATGAATGAACAATTATCATTCAGTCAATATCCTTATTTAAATGGCATGAGGATATTACTAATTATAAAATGTTCTAATATAAATCATTAACATAAATTGTTGATTAAACGTGTTGTAATATAAATTATTAATATTAATATAAACTATTTTTGCAGCAACTGTTAAAGCATCTTATTATAGTAATATTACGTTCAAATCTAAAAATCAACTTAATGTGGAGTTACATTGTTTTTGCACCAAGGTCTTCAATTTATATGAAAAGTTCTTGTTTCTATTTTTATTTTAACTAATTTATTTATAATTTAAATGAAATAATTGTTTTCTTTTATCTTTTTAAACCATTTTATTCAAAATTTAAATAAAGTTTATTCTAATTTAAACCTTAAACACTGTCAGAACAGTAGTTAGGTCAGCGTTGCCAAATGTTGACACTAATTCCAAAGGCTGGGTAGGTTCACAAACCTAATATTTTTTCCTTCAATGCACTAGCCTCATTTGTAGTGACAGCACATTTATTTCTAGTAATTCAAATTTCACCGATGTTTTCATTTCAAAGAGATAATATTTTCGCCTTTTTTTTTTTTTTTTTTGTTATTTCACCTCCCCAAGGCCGAGAAAGCCACTACAGACGACGAGGCTACTTAATTGTGGTTATAACCCTCTCTCAACTCTATAACTCCGAAACACGAACCTTGATGAACAAGGCCACTGCGCGGAGAAACAAGTTGAGCGGGGTACTACCAGGGACATGGTGGGGATCGAACTCGGAACCTCTCGCTTATGAAGCAAGCGGTCTACCACTACACCACTAACGCATTATTGTAAAAATATTTTTATTGTAAAAATAGCATTGCAATCTTTTATTGTACAAATAGCATTGTAATCTTAATCTTTTGATTCAACAGACATTTCAAAACATTTCAATACATTTATTTAATTTTTCATAACTTTTTCTTTCAATGATGACTTTGACATTTTTTGATAATTCTTAAACGTTTTCTTGCAAAAGAAAAAGAAAATGTATTTTTCAGGACATATCTTGAAACTAAATAGTTTTGAAGTTTTTTTTGCTTAAGTCTTAAGTAGAAAAAAGTTTACCAGTTTCATAATAATTTCTACAACAAAAGAATTTATTTTGATAGCAAACTAAATCAGGGATGCGGATTCCCAAAAAATTTGAAAGTCACAAAAAGATTACTTTTTTCCTAGTTTTTAGTTTTAGGAGCTCTAAAAATATGAAAAATGTTTATGGACTACTAATTGGAAAAAAGACTTATAGGTTAGAGGAACAATCAATTTTTGAACATGGACTCCTCAGGTATAATGGCGGCAAAGATACCAGGACTCCGGATTTAAAAACAATAAGCACCAAGTCATTAAAACTCATAAATTTTTTTCTTATAGCAGATCATAAATCAACCAACATTTTTAGAGCTTCTGGACACCAGAAACAATGAAAAAATAGATATATATATAGTAGGGATGAACCGAAGCCAAGAATTTGCCAAAGCCACTTTACCTAAGCCGAAGCTTTTATATTTACACAGCTAAAATTTGCTATCTATTTAACTAACTATATTATTATTTTTAACAATCAGATGTCCATTAACAATCAACACTCCTACCCAGATGTCCATTAAACATTTTTTGAACATTCTGAACGCCTTATAAATGTTCAAAAATCTTTTCAAACCAAATGCTGGCTAAATAAATATATAGTATATATTGTAATACTACAAATGCACTTATTTTGAATCATTATCACTTTTTGAAATATAAACCATGATTATTATATTATACACTTGCAAGGTTAGAGTTTTTATAAAATTGAAAAAAAAATTTTTTTAGTCATAAAAAGGAAATAATACAGTAAGCAGTTGCATATAGACTTTAGAAGTTACTAGTAGCTAATTTACTACATAAATTAATTACTAAATAGTAACTCATTACTTATTAAGTAAATAATACAAAGCGTAAAGTAAAGTCTACAATTTGATTCTTATAACATATTTATATATTGAATATTCTAATTTGAACTAAACATTTGGGCATTGGCCTTTAAAGTTTGAAATTAGATTTTGAACTTTAAGTTATTAACAAAACATTTTGCTAATTAATAATAGTGTTTAGTTATTACTACTTAGTGAATGAATAAATGGATTAGTGAATGAATAAATGCATGGATTATGGAACTTGATTCACTTCATCGCATTAATTTAATCAG